AAAAAAACAAAACCAACAATGAGATATCATCTAACCCCAGTCAGAATGGCTAAGATTAAAAAAACAAAAAATGATAAGTGTTGGTGGGGATGTGGTGAAAGGGGAACTCTCTTACATTGCTGGTGGGAATGTAAATTACTCCAACCATGGTGGAGAACAATTTGGAGATTCCTCAAAAGTCTACAAATAGAACTACCATATGATCCAGCAATCCCATTCCTTAGCATCTACCCAAAGGACAGAAGAATTCTTCATCAGAAAAGTGCTGGCACATCGACATTTATTGCAGCACTTTTCACGATTGCTAAGACATGGAACCAACCCAAATGCCCCCGTAGGGATGAATTGATTGAAAAACTGTGGCACATATATTCTATGGAATACTATTCAGCCATAAAAAACCCTGTCTTTTGACAGAAAGTGGAATAATATGGAAGATTTACTGCTGAGTGAAGCAAGCCAGACTATGAAGGAGAGACACTGTATGTCCCCACTTAATATATACCGAGTGTCCGCACTCTATAACTGAAACTGACTGGCTAAAGGATGTACAAACACAAGAGATTGGTGTGAATGCCAGATGTGGTGTGTGTGGAGGAGTGGGGCCTGGGGAAAAAACATTTGTAGGAGGGATACAGAGACAGCATTGTTGAGACAGGGAGGTAGTATTGTTATATTTTGATCAACTGGACCGAGGAGAAATGTCCACATATTGAAATGATCACCTTGTAAGCTAAATAATGTGATTGAATGTATTAAGAAATATAAAAAAAAATTAAAAATAATTAACAAAAAATGATTAGTAGAAGCAGTAATATTGGAGGCATAAATCCTTTTACTAATGTTCTCTTGAGACCTTCATCTGTGTGCCCTCCTAAGTCTACTTAATTGATGAGAAAATAATAAGAGCTTTTGCTATCTGGGAGCCTACAATATCAAAGGCATTATACCAGTCACCTTACTTAAATTGTTTCTCATCCTCACAACTGGTTTACTTTTTATGTAATTGCCAGAGGGTATACGTGCTTTGACAAAGAGAGACAGAGAGATAGAGGAAGAAAGCACTCCTCAGTGAGGAATGGTCATGCCACAATCCCTTCTTCATTTATCTACCCTGCTGGGTTTGGGGCACTCTTGCATGTGCTCTTGGAGTGTTTATCAAGCCTCTGGAATTTGAATAGCAGTCAACTATGTGAGATCTCGTTCCCTTAACCAAAGGCCATGAGGCAACCCACAAAACGTTTTACAGTGATTAAATCATTGATTAATTTGAAATTTTCAGAAACAGATGAAAAATAAATAAATTTATAATCATCTCAAATTTTGTTACCCAGAGACATCCACATGGGTTTGTAAACAATTTTATTTTGATCTTTATTTTTTAGAGGTGGTGTGCCCTTCTATTTTATGAATATTTTAACTTTACTTAGCTAATCTATGAATAAGTATTTAGTTTTATATTTTTCACTCTTTTAAATCTGCCAGGTCAACCTCAGCGGGGGTGAGTTAGTTGAGACTCATACACAGGAAGGTGACATGGGTGATCAGGGACAAAAATTAGACTGAGACCTCATTGCTCCTTAGCATATTCTCAGCCGACCACAGCCAGAGCCACATTTAGTTTTATATTTTTCACTCTTTTAAATCTGCCAGGTCAACCTCAGCGGGGGTGAGTTAGTTGAGACTCATACACAGGAAGGTGACATGGGTGATCAGGGACAAAAATTAGACTGAGACCTCATTGCTCCTTAGCATATTCTCAGCCGACCACAGCCAGAGCCACCTCCAGACTGCAGCCCCATGGCTATTAAAACATACGTATTTATTGAGGGATGTTTAGGAAGTAAGGGGGGTGAGGGGAAGTAAAATTTTTACTCTAAGGAACAGGGTATACAAAGCATGGAAGCAATAATTATAAAACATGCTCTTTGTCTTGTCAGATCAGGTAAAATCAATCACAGTTCTCAGGATGAGGAAGTCCATTTGTCTGTTGTATTTTCTTCTTAGATCTTGATTACTGGGAAGGGTCTTTCGAATAGGGGGCTTTCAGGAAGCTTGATAACTTCAGTCCCAGGTCAGCTTGATAACTTCAGTCCCAGGCCAGGGTGGCAGCACTGTCAGTTACAAAGGCCTAGATAGAAATCTTGTCTTGTTAAGTAAAGACACAGTTAATATATGGATTATCTATATGTTACAGCAAAAGAGGATGAGCCTATTGTCCATATGGAAAAGGAAGATGATCTTGTAGCTCAGGAGACAAAGGACATTTGGAGAAGGAATACAGAGGAAGAGCATTGATGGGATGGGGAGGTGTGGTGCTATTGGTTGAAGATATTTTGATCAATGGGACTGGGGAGAAAGTTCACATATTGAAATGTTCACATTGTAAGCTAAACAATGTGATTGACTGTATATACAAAAATAAATTAATTAATTTAAAAAATAATAATACTATAGACACATACAAGGCACTAGTACCTTGAACAGGTACATTAGAAAATCATACTTAAAACTGACCTTGGATGATTACAACTCTTCAAGTAGAATTTCAACACTTTCCCAAAAAGCAAGTTTTGCCCCTTTGATCCTCCCATCCATAGCACATACTACATTGCTGCCAGGAGTATTAAACCTTCAGTAAACACTTGCTGGGTGAGTCTGTGACTAGGCCAACTTCTCTGCTACAGTTCTTATCCTTTACAGAATGAAACCCCTCATAAACATGCTAGCTAGTTTCTTCTTAAAATCATAAATCAGGCACATTTCCAGTTCTTTTGTTTCAGAATTTTTGTGCCTTCATCAATTATATAATAACCTTGTTAATCAGAACATTAAGAAATTATTTGTTGGGACTAGCAGATGGCATAATGGTTACATTGTTGTACTCCCACATGGCTGACCACAGTTCAAGTCCTGAACCCGACAGCTTGAAACACACCAGGCACATGTGAACGTGTGCCCAAAATCCTGGATGAGAAGGGATTACAGCATAGACAACCCCCACCCTGGAGGTGATTTCTTGTTTTCAGTCTCTCTGTCTTTTGGCAAGTGCACACATCCTATAGCAAAAATCTGTCTTAAAAAATGTTATATGTCATAATTTTTTATTTAATTTTAAAGGAAGTTATTTTTTCTCCTTCCCTCTGCTGAGACATTCTTTCTCTTCCATTATTTTTGCTATGGGGCACTTGTGCTCACTGGAGAGAGACAAAAAGACAGAGACAGAAAGTGAGTGATCACTACCACTCCACACCTAGAGGGGATAGCCACATTACAATCACTTGTCCTCCATTCTCCTCTTGCATTTAGTTTTCAAGCTGCCATGTCTGGGACTTCAAGCTGTCAGCCATGGAGATCCAGTCTCCTTAATCTCTATGCCACCTGCTGTCCCGAGACATTCTTTTTTGGAAAAGGAAAAATATGTTTATCTATTTAT